TGTCTTAGTCCTCAGTAGGCCAATAGCAAATCTGATTAGACCACTGTCCAGTATTCAGTAAGTGTTCTTTTCATATGATTTTTTATTAATCTTCCCCGTTTCGGATTATTTTTTTTTTTTTGCATTTCTGGTGACCAGAGCATCTCAAGAGTCCAAAAAAGAGAATTTTGATATATTCAAGTCCAATTTATCGAGGTGTTACTGTAACTCTCACCAATATGTCAAGGGTTCGAGCCTTGGCCCGACACACGTGAGAAGGGTGTTATCCATTGTGATCCTACTGAATATCACAGATTACCAGGGGTCCCAGGTTTCTTCCTGTACTAACATTGGATAGAAAGCCCAAATGGCAAATAAGCCGATTAGATTATTATTATTATTATTATTATTATTATTATTTATACATTTTTTTTACAGGAATAGCCCACCCACGCACAGGTCTGGGGGAGGGGGGGGGGGAATAAAGAGTGCAGTGGTCCCTCGGTTAACGAGCACAATCCGTTCGAGAAGGTTGCTCGTTAACCGAAACCATTGTTTCAATGGGTTTTTGGGTAATTGGTTCCAGCTCACCGAAAATTGCCTAAATTCAACAAAAAGGGTAGAAAATTACACTTACTTTGAAGTGTGTATGTAGAAGGCTCCTGGATGATGATGGGAATTAGAATGGGGGTGGAGGAGAAGGGAGAAGAGAAGGCATTGGGGTGGAAGAGAAGTCACCCCATGGCGCCATTTCACCCATAAAATTTGAGTTCTTTTTGTGTAATTCAAGATTATTTTCTTTAAATCAACACTGCACCGCATTAAATATTGCCAATATGTAAAATAAATTTCAAAATGACCAATAATTTGCTTGGAAACACAGAAAAAAAGCATTTAGTTGAAGAGAGTCTCAAGCAAGATGTTACCTCCACTGAAAAGAGAGAGAGACTAACGCCTGTTCCGTGTGTTGCCAGGCTGGATGGGGTGCCAGAAACTAGTTTCTTTACCTTCAATTATGTTCAATAATTGTTAAAATGACTAAAAAATTTAATATTAAACTTTTAAAATTATTGAATAGTATAAACTTCTTGATATTTACTAAAATGGTAAGGAATATAATAAGCCTTAGAACCGATTACTGTATTGGCAGACTAATACTACAGCTGGTGGACCGCCAAATGCAAGCAAAAACATGTTGAGGTCGGCTCGTAAGAAACTCGTTAATCGAGGGATTGCTCGTTAACCGAAGTTAAGAATCTTATGGAAGGTAACTCGTTAACCGAATTCTCGTTAACCGAGGCGCTCGTTAACTGAGGGACCACTGTAAAAAGAAATTTAAAATAGAAGAGAAAAAGAAAAAAAAATTATATTAATCTACACCACGAAGATGCCTGAAAACCAGCTTTTTGAAGTGAGACAGATTGTATCAGTATGGAAACACAGAAGGCAGAGCATTCCACAGTTTGGCTGTGTGAGGAAAAAAGGATGTACTATAATGGGTTATTCTAGTGTGACCGACATCCACAAAGAAACGATGGGCACCACAGGCAAGACAAGTGTTACGAACCCACGGCCTTGCCGGAGGTACATAGGATGCCAAATCCACCGAACATTACCCGTTAAAGTACCTGTAAAAGAGAGAGAGAGTGAAGCAACATTGCGGCGAAGAGAAAGGGGAGAGAGGTTATCAACTTTGATTCCACCCTATCTAACAGATGGACAGAAGAAGAACTACCCCAGATATGAGAGCAGTACTCCAAGTTAGGACGAATGAATCACTTATAAACTTAAAGCAACTGCTCAGGAGAAGTAGCTATGGCATCTGTACAGTATTCCCAGCTTTCAGGAGGCAGCTTTAGTAATGTTGTGGATCTGTGGCTTCCATGACATATTAAGAGGAAATGGTGAGGCCTAGCATATCTATTTTAGAATTGGGCAAAATGACTGCATCCTGAAATGTGATTGGTGGGAGATAATCTAATTTAGAAAGTGTAATTGGTATATACAGGTTGAAAACCCTTTATCCGAAATTCCAAAAACCGAAAAGCTCTGAAAACCTAAAGTTTTTTTGTGCATTTTTTTTTTTTATATATTAGCCCACCCAGGCACAGGTCACTGACCCACATCGGGGCCTGGGGGGTGAAAATGTAATAGTAATAATAATTATAATAATAATGATTATACAGTAATAATAATAACTATTCATAGTAAATAAAATTTGTAATAAAAAATACACAAAAATAAAATAAGAATGATAATAATAATAATAAAAATAATACTGTAATAATAAAATACAGTAATAATAATTATAATAAAGAAATACAAGAATGAAAAAAGATCAAAAGTGAGAAACACGACCTAGACCTATGAATTATTATTATTATTATTATTATTACAGTGGTCCCTCGGTTAACGAACACAATCCGTTCCAGCAGGTTGTTCATTAACCGAAAAATTAGTTAACCGAAACCATTGTTTCAATGGGTTTTTGGGTAATTGGTTCCAGCTCACCGAAAATTTCCTAAATTCAACAAAAATGGTAGAAAAGTTCACTTACTTTGAGGTGTGTATGTAGAAGGCTCCTGGATGATGATGATGATGGGAATTAGAATGGGGGTGGAGGAGAAGGAAGAAGAGAAGGCATTGGGGTGGAAGAGAAGTCACCCCATGGCACCATTTCACCCATAAAATTTTAGTTCTCTTGGTGTATTGCAAGATTATTTTCTTTAAATCAACACTGCACTGCATTATATATTGTCAATACTGTATGTAAAATATATTTCAAAATGACCAATAATTTGCTTGGAAACACAGAAAAAAGCATTTAGTTGAAGAGAGTCTCAAGCAAGATGTTACCTCCAGTGAAAACAGAGAGAGACTAACTCCTGTTTGCTGTGTTAAGAGGCTGGATGCCGTGCATTAAACTAGTCACTTTACCTTCAATTATGTTCAATAATTGTTAAAATGACTAAAAAATTGAATATTAAACTTTTAAAATTATTGAATAGTATAAACTTCTTGATATTTACTAAAATAGTAAGGAATTTAAGCCCTAGAACCGATTAATGTATTGGCGGACTGATACTAAAGCTGGTTGCCCGGTCAGTGCAAGCGAAAACATGTTGAGGTCGGTTCGTAAGAAATTCGTTAACTGAATTTTTGTTCGTTAACCGAATTGAAGATCCTTATGGAAGGCAGTTCGTTAACCGAAATTTCGTTAACCGAGGCGATCGTTAAACGAGGGGTCACTGTACAGTAATAATAATAATTATTCATAGTAAATAAAATTTTTAATAAAAAATACACAAAAATAAAATAAGAATGATAACAACAATAATAATAATAATAATAATAATACTGTAATAATGAAATAATAATAATAATAATAAAGAAATACAAGAATGAAAAAAAGATCAAAAGTGAGAAACATGACCTGTGCCTGGGTGGGCTGAACCGTTTATATAAAAAAAAAAAAAAAAAAAAAAAAAAAAAACTAACCAACCATACTGAAATCCGAAAAATTCCAAAAACCGAAATGCATCTGGTCCCAAGGATTTCGGATAAGGGATTGCCAACCTGTACTGTGTTTTATTACTATTGGATTGAATCAAGTTTCTACCTCCCCATTCGGAGATGCTGCACAGAACATTATTGATAGAGGTAATATCAGATCTAAAAACAGATCTAGTTTGAGAATTAGTGGGAAGAGAAAAATGTGAAGAAGAATGAAGAGTAAAATCAGCGAAAGAATGGGTAGAATTAGTCGCAGTGTGAAGTAAATCATTGATAAAAAGAGGAGAGAGAGTCGATGAAAGAACAGAACCCTGTGGGACATCACGATTGGTAGAAAAAGAGAGAGAGATCAATCCCTCGACAACAACTGCCATAGATCGGTTCTCAAGGAAGCAAGAAATTAAAGAACAAAGTGGGGGAGAGAAACCATAGGAGGGAAGATTAGAAAGCAAAGACTTGTGCCATACCCTGTCAAATGCTTTGGAGATGTTGAGGGCCACCACAAAAGTTTCCCCATAATCCCTAAGAGAGGATGACCAAAGATGGGTGCAGTAGGAGAGCAGATCACCAATAGATTTTGCCTGGTGAAAGCCATACTGGTGATCCGACAAAAGAGAATAGCGCTCAAGGTGACGGAGAAAATAAGAGTTTAAGATAGTTTCGAAAATCTTAGAGAGGAATAAAGTTAGGACAATGGGGCGACAGTTAGAGGGATTAGAATGGTCACCCTTCTTTGGGATGGGCTGAACCAAGGCATGCTTCCAAGAAGAAGGAAAAGTTTGGGTTTTCAGGCAAAGGCAAAAGAGGCGTGCAAGCACATGGGCCAGAATTTCAGCACACTCCCTCAGAACACGAGGGGGTATTCTGTCCATTCCATGCGCCTTACTCACGCCAGCAACCCTACGAGTGGAGATTATAGGAAAGTGCATAAGCAAAAATTATAAAAATAAAAATGAAAACTACCAGTAATGTACTACTACTGACTATGAGTACCAATTTTATATGTTACAACTGTGACTTTGTCATCATTTAGATTCATTAGTGCCCCCATGATTGTAACAGTCATCACCAGTATCTCCACATTATCACCCATAATGCCACGGTGCCCAACATGTCTAAAAATAAAGGATTCTTAAAATTCCATTTTGTAACCAAGCTCAACTTTGTGTAGTGGATTCACGAACCTGCTGGTAGGAGACCCTAGGAGACTTTAGTGGCTGTAATCTCTTCTGATAATTATTCCACCCCTTTTCATTGCTATAATTGCCTCTAATGTCACCTTTAATCTCCATTTCTTAATATAAATGGTTGCAATAGTGAGGGAGCTCAATTCATAAGACACTGTACATGATGGCAATAAAACATTTAGCATAGAATATTGTTACCTGTAGTACAGTAATATAGTACTGTATATTTAACAGGCAATAACATTATTAATAAAAACTTACATCTTTATGGTGTATTTACATAATTCAGTACATTATTATTAATGCAATGAAGATACTTACCCATGTTCCGCCGCGTAAATCTGTAGCTGTAATTGGAATGTCGATCACGTCTGGGTTGCATACCGTCACACCTATCTCGATACTTCCACTCCATGTGTTCAGCTGTACAGATAAAAACTCTGTGAAAATTAATCCTTCAAAATGAAACATTTTGGCATTACAGGGTATTAGTTTTTGTTGCCCCAGACCAACATTAACAATAAATTACTGTATTCGCTAATTTCTATCGACATAAACGTACATTCCTATTCACTTACTTCAATATCAGTTTTTCACTAAATTTCCAAAACCACAACTTGTCACATTCCTCTCCTTGATCTGTTAATCTAATATTTCTTTATTTTGTAATCATGCTCCAGTTACTGTATGGTATTACACATACAGTAATATCTCCCTTTGCCGGAATCCCTCAAACCCAGAACTCTCAAATGGTCAAAATTTTAATTTTCTCGGAAAATCGTTCCCAAAGCCGGAATTTTCCAGAAAATTCTGGCTCTGGAAAAATTTTTCCGAGGGGCACATTTTCTGGAAATTTATGAAAAATTTTTCCGATACCTGGAAAATTCCGGGTATGGGGTAGTTTTTCCAGGTTCGAGAGATGAAGATCAGGTGTATTTTCTGGAAATTCTGAGGACATTTTTCTGTTTCCCGGAAAATTCCAGGAATGAGGGATATTTTCCGAGTTCGAGATGATGTAATGGGCAATTTCTGGAACTTCCGAGAACATTTTTCCGTTACCCAGAAAATTCCGGGGATGAGAGTTTTCATCTTTGAGAGTCATCTCGTTACCCGGAAATCTCTTGTAACACTTCACAGAGCAATCGACAGAAACCGCGTGATTCAAATGATCACGTGATGTAAACAGAGAGTGCTGGTGTAAACCGTTATTAGTCTTCACTGCGAAACATTCTTTTTACTTATTCTTTTCATACAGTATTTATGGGTAACAGCTAAATTTGCAAAAAAAAAAAAAAAAAAACGAAATTTACAAAGTATCTCTCAAAAAACACTTCATAAACAAAAGACACGAATCAATTGAACATGTGATGTCGAACACGAACTGTAAACATTGCATAACCCCGCGCCACGCTTAAAACGTGGAGGATGGAATAAAAACATTGAGGATGGAATCGTGTTATTGTCAACATTCGTATGAAAAGGTTCACGTTTTACAAGCAGTGTTCCCCTATTCATCAATCGCGTGACAACCAATTCGTGTTGACAAAACACGCGTTGTAGCAGAAATGACTATACAGTATTTTAATACTATTGAATTTAACCAAGTTTTACCCTCCCGATTTGGAGATGCTGAACAGATCCGCATTGATAGATAAAATGATATCAGCTCTAGAAACATACCTAGTTTAAGAATTATGGGGAAGAGAAAAATGTGAAGAAGAGATGAGAGTACAAAGTAAATCATTGATAAAAAGAAGGAAGAGAGTACTGTATAGTAGAACCTCGATAAATCGGACTAATTGGGGCAGACCCCAGCCAGAGGAAAGGCGAATATAGGGGGAGGAGGGTGGGAGAGATAACACTGCTTATCTAAACTGTTTAAAGAAAATCAATTGTCATGTTATTACTGCACTTCAACAACTAAGGTTTTTAAGTGCTTAACAAAGTTATTAAAAGAATATTATGTCAACAATAAAAAAAATTATGAAACAACTTTGTGGGTTGAAAATCAGACATGCAAGTCTGGTTGTCACTGAGATGATTGTTATTTACTGTACAGTGGTCCCTCGGTTAACAAGCACAATCCGTTCCAGCAGGTTGCTCGTTAACCGAAAAACTCGTTAACCGAAACCATTGTTTCAATGGGTTTTTGGGTAATTGGTTCCAACTCACCGAAAATTGCCTAAATTCAACAAAAGTACACTTACTTTGTGGTGTGTATGTAGAAGGCTCCTGGATGATGATGATGATGATGATGGGAATTAGAATGGGGGTGGAGGAGAAGGGAGAAGAGAAGGCATTGGGGTGGAAGAGAAGTCACCCCATGGTGCCAATTCACCCATAAAATTTTAGTTTTCTTGGTGTAATTCAAGATTATTTGCATTAAATCAACACTGCACTGCATTATATATTGTCAATATGTAAAAGAAATTTCAAAATGACCAATAATTTGCTTGGAAACACAGAAAAAAGCATTTAGTTGAAAAGAGTCTCAAGCAAGATGTTACCCCCACTGAAAAGACAGAGAGACTGGCGCCTGTTTGGTGTATTGCCTGGCTGGATGGCGCGCATGAAACTAGTTTCTTTACCTTCAATTATGTTCAATAATTGTTAAAATGACTAAAAAATTAATATTAAACTTTTAAAATTATTAAATAGTGTAAACTTCTTAATATTTACTAAAATACTAAGGAATTTAAGCCCTAAAACCGATTGCTGTATTGGCGGACAAATACTACAGCTGGTGGACCACCAAATGCAAGCGAAAACATGTTGAGGTCGGCTCGTAAAAAACTCGTTAATCGAGGGATTGCTCATTAACCGAAGTTAAGAATCTCATGGAAGGTAACTCGTTAACCGAAATCTCGTTAACCGAGGGATCACTGTAAAGTGTTATATATGTAAGTAATCACAGAATTTATCTTTTGAATGAAGAGAAAGCTGTACAGTGGGGTATGCTACAACGAATCTAATTGGTTCTAGAACCTTGTTCGTTATAGCATTCGTTTGTTATAGGATTAATCCGTTCCAGGCCCCCAAATACAACCACTTAACACTGAAAAATATAATATAAAATTGTAAAAATTGTAAAAAAGTGCATAAATATGCATCTAAACCCCTGAAATAAAGAATATCATTAATATTTGTAATAATAAAACAATAAATTAGAAAAAAAAAAAAATTAAATTATGTTCGTTGTAGGAGTTTCGTTCGTTATAGCATTCTCAATTTTATAGGTAAAACCGTTCGTTATAGGAATATTCGTAGTAGGATCCGTTCGTTATAGCATACCCCACTGTATACTGTACAGTACTATAAAGATAAAATTAAGAGCAATAAGTGTAGGAGTATATTGTATGTGGAAGACGAATGTTTATCTGGGAGCAGCTGGCAGAGGGGAAGGTGGGTACTCCCTCCCCCAAAGATTCCTTTAACACTTCTTAAAGCAATTTCACCATTTGTTGCCAGGTTGATAAAATACTATCCTGAAAGAATCAGCTTTCCTGAAAAAAGAATCCCACACTGAACACTATGAGTCATTTGTTTATAAAGGTCAAACAGCTGATTGACTTACCACAACGTTTGTTCAAAACTCAGTAAATTAGTACAGTACAGTCATGTATTATCACTACTTACCAAATACTCTTGTAGTGTACAGTATTATGTATCTGCATGTACCCTGGTTTATTCATTAATCATTTGTCTAAGTGTACAAGTAGCCAAATTGAGTCATCATATAACACTCAAAGATAGTAAATCATGTTGTTAAGAAGGTATCTTCATATCAAATACTATACAGTGTGCTATAATGACCTCTGTTGTATGTAAGCTGGTCTACTGAAAGCTCTCACATGAATGCATCTTGAGTAAATAACCTTTTGATACAGCTTATCCTTTTATTTTTCAAGTCATATTACAAATTACATACAGTATTGTATTGATCTCTGTTACTGAAGTTGTTATCATAATCATGATGAACCATAAACCATAAGAGGCCAATCATATGAGAATATAATACTGAATCAATAAATAAATAAACCTGACGAATACACAACACCGAACCAGCCCCAGCCCACTTACATACTCTAGTGTCTTAGTTCTCAGTAGGCCAATAGCAAATCTCATTAGACCACTGTCCAGTATTCCGTAAGTTTGGTTCTTTTCATAGAATTTTTTTATTAATATTCCCCATTTCTTAAAACGTGGAATTTTTTCATACAGTATTTCTGGTGACCAAAGCATCTCAGAGTCAGAAAAAAAGTGAATTTTGATATATTGAAGTCCAATTAATCGAGGCTTTACTTTAGGTGAAAGAACAGAACCTGTGAGACACCACTATTGGTAGAGAAAGAGCGAGAGATCAGTCCCTCGACAACAACTGCCATGGATTGGTTCTCAATGAAGCTAGAAATTAAGAGAACAAAGTGGGGGAGAGAAACCATAAGAGGGAAGTTCAGAAAGCAAAGACTTGTGCCATACCTTGTCAAATGCTTTGGATGTCGAGGGCCACGACGAAAGTTTCCCCATAATCTCTAAGATCCGACAAAAGAGAAAGGCGTTCAAGATGTTTAAGATACCTGTAGTTTCAAAAATCTTAGAGAGGGATGAATTAAGGGCAGTGGGGTGATAGTTAGGGGGATTAGAATGGTCACCCTTCTTTGGGATGGGCTGAACCAAGGCATGCTTCCAAGAAGAAGGAAAAGTTTGGGTTTTGAGGCAAAGGTAAAAGAGGCAAACAAGCACAGGGGCCAGAATTTCAGCACACTCCCTCAGAACACAAGGGGGTATTCTGTCCATTCCATGCACCTTACTCACATCCAACCTGGATAACACACCAGCAACCCTATGAGTGGAGATTATAGGAAAGTGCATAGGTTCAGTAGAAGGAGCAGGAATTGGAGGGGACGAGTTGGAATTGTCTTAGGTGGAGGAGAAGGTGCCCAAGAGATTGACTTTATCAGGGGGGGAGAGTTGGCTACAGAGTTATTAAGGCAGAATAGATGAGGAAAGGAGGGAGTGCAGATGTTAGAGATGTTTTTGGTTATGGGCCAGAACGACTTACTAGAAGAAGAGTTAGACAGGACAGCGGTCTTTCTTTTTATAAAATTCCGCTTGGCCCTACAAAGAATAACCTTACAACGATTCCTAGAAGTATTGAAAGAGTAACAGGTAACAGGAGAAGATAGTTTTATAACTTGATACACCCTATCTCTCTCCCTACACGCAAGGGAACAGGAGCGATCAAACCATGATTGTAAAGTGAAAGCTTTGGTAGGAGTTGGGATAAATGCACTCATACCACCCTGTATAACCCCAGCAATGCTGTCAGCACATGCCGAGGCATCCCGAGTGGAAAAGCAACATTCATCCCAGGGAAAGTAGAAGAATTCTTACAAGGATTGCCAGTTTGCCCATCGATAGTG